GACGCTTACTACTTTCATGTTCCTTGAACATTACCATCATCCAGTCTTCTGTAGTTTCCAAATATCTTTGAGGCCAATTGTTGTAGTTTTTTAGGACAGTTCTAGTTGAACTAATCCTCTTTCCTTTCGGATCTGGGCACATACAGACGATCAACATCAGCTTTGGGATGATGCATTGCGATAGCAAGTGAGAAGCTTTCTCGTTTTGGCGTCCATTCGCTTAATTTCAGCTATGGTCCAGTTAAAACATTTAAAATGTATTGCACCACAGGGACAGCCAATGTGTTTATGGCTGATATTTGTTTGTTTTTTTTTAAATTTAATTTCAAATTTTTAGTACCAGACGTACACGCCTGTAGTATTCTTTTTTTTTTTTTTTCATTTTTGGGTAATTTGTATGCCATCTCCTTCCATTTAATTCCTAAAATGTATAATTCATCATGCTTCAGTTCCCTAATCTTTGTGACAAAAATCTAAATCTAAAAAGGGTGTTTCTGTAATTCTACCTTTCTTGAATATTATTTTTATTTTATCTAATCCAAAGTCCATACCTATTCGTCACTTTTTTTTTATTTTTTAATATTGAGGAGGCCCTTTCAACTCATTGTCGTCTTTGGCAAAGAGTTTTTTGATCATCCATGTATATAGGTGATTGAATATTTTCTTATTTATTTTGTAACCATAGCTACTGTTGTTCAGTTCATGTTTAAGATTAATTAAATAAATAAACAAAACAAAAGGGGTGACAGAGAATCTCCATGAAAGATTCCATTTATATATTTTTTTATTGATAATAGTGATGGAAAATTTTGAAATGTGTATAATTGGTGTTCCACATTCCATTATAGTTTTTTATTTTTACCAAAAAATATTTTAAATTGTATATATTTCAAAAATCTTTATTTATTTTTATTATTTTTATTATTTATATTATTTTTATTATTATTAATTTTTTTTTATTATTTGTTTTTTTTATTTTATATTTTTTCTTCTTTTCATTTTTTTTTTTTTCTTCTTTTTACTTTTTCTTCTTCTTCTTCTTCTTCTTCTTCTTCTTCTTTTTCTCATTATTAATTTATTATTTTTATTATTATTATTATTATTATTATATATGATTATTATTATTATTTTTTTTTATTTTTTAATGTTTTTAAAATTTTTATTTGTATATTTTTACCTAAGGCAAAAAAAATTTTTTTTGATTCATGGATCATTTTTCTAAAAATCATTTTTTTTAAAAATATTTTTAAAATTATTTTTTATTATTTTGTATATTTTTTCTTCGTTTTTTTTATGGTCTATTTCTTCTTAATTTTTCTTTAATTTATATTCATTAGTCTTGTTTTTCAATTTTTCTTTTTTATTTTTTTTTTATTCTTTTTTTTTTTTGAAAATTTCTTTTTCTTATTTTTTTTCTTCCAAATTTTTTTAATTTCCAATATTTTTCTTTTCGGTTTTATTATTTTATTTTAAAAATTTATATGTTCATTTAAAAAAACCAGAAATTTTTTTTTTTCTTATCCTTCTTATTTTTATTTTATTTAAAAAATTTCTTTCCATTCGATTGAATTTTTTTACAAATTTTTTTATTTTTAATAAATTCTTCAATTATTTTCAAAAAATAAAAATTAATAAGATTTTTTTTTTATATTTTTATATATATGAAATTTTCTTTTTTTTGAAAAGAAACAAATAAGAAATAGAAACGAAATTTTTTTCAAAACAAGAAAAAAAAAAAAAAAATCAATTTGAATAATTTTTTCAAAGAAAAATTTTTTTTTTAATAAAAAAATAAATAAAAGAAGATATGAAAATTAAATGATAACTGGAAATAAAATTAAAAAAATATTTAAAGAAAAAAAAAAAAGAAAATTCAAAAGAAAGAAAGAAAATTAATCAGAAAAAAAAATATTAAAAATCAAAAAGATAAAAAAAAATAAAATAAATTAATTTTAAAAAAAAAAGAAAGAAAAAGATAAATTTTAAAAATTTTTTTCAAAATAAATGTTAAAAATTTAATTATTAATATTGATAATTTGTTTTAAGAAAAAAAAATAAAAAAAAAAAAAAATTTGTTTTCTTTTTTATCTAAATTTTTTTTTAATAATTTTTTATTAAAAAATAGATAAAAAAAATTTCAAATTCGATTTCTAATCAGAAATATTTAATTTTGAAATAATAAATTTTTTAATTTTTTTTCAAGAATAAATTGTTTATTATATAAATTAAATTCTATTTTTTTAATTTTTTCAAGAAAGAAAAGAAAATTATTAAAAAAAGAGAGATCTAATTTTTTTTTTTTTTCAAAAATAAAAAGAAAAAAAAATATATAAAAATATAAATAATAAAAAAAAAAAAAAAAAATTAAATAAAAAAATTTTTCAAAAAAAACAGATAATTGATATCAATTGATAAATAAAAGAAAGAAAGAAAAAAGATTTAGTATTTAAAATTAAAAAAGTCAAAATCGAAAGAATATATTCAGAAAAAAAAGAAAGAATTCATAAATAAAATTTTTTAAATTTATGTCAATATTGAATATATAAAGAATTTTTAATTATTTAGATAGATAGAAATTTTTTTCTATAAAAAAAAATTTTTGATAAAAAACAATCAATCCGTATATAAAAAAAAATAAATAGATAAAAATAATAAATAGAATTAAAAAATGGAAAAAAAAAAAAAAAAAAAAAATGAAATGTTTATCAGAAACGAATTCAATGGAAAAAAAAATAATTATATAAAGGATAGAATGAAAGATGATAATTTGAATAAAAATAATAATAGAAATAGAATAAAAAAAATTTTAATTTTTTAGATTTTAAAAGATTTCATAATTTAATATATAATTATATAATGAAATTTTTGAAAAATGGAAAAATATGATAAGAGATTAAAATATAAATATATATATATTAGATAGATATATATATAAGATAGAGGATTTAAAAAATAGAAAATAAATTAAGGATAAAAATATTTTTGAAAATAAATAAATGATATATTATAGAAATATATAAAAAAAATTTTAAAAAATTTAAATATTTATAAAAATAAATAAAAATAGATATAGATAGATAATAAAGAAAGATATGATAGATAAATAGATATATAGATATATAGATAGATAATATATATATATAGATAGATAATAAATAGACTAATATAATAGATAATGAACAGACTAAAATAGATATATAGATAATGAACAGACTTAGATAGATAGATAGATAGATATATATTAGATAGATAATGAACAGATATTAATAGATAGATAGATAGATAGATATTAGATAGATAGATAGATAATAGATAGATGTGATAGATAGATAATACATAATAGATAGATATAGATAGATAAAATAGATAGATAGATAGATAGATAAACATAGA